GACGACTACCAACAGGCAATGCGCAGGTGCAAGGAGAACATAAACTGCTGACACCAGCCTCTAGAACTAACCCAGCTTTACTTATGCATATGTATGTTTGTGTTATGCAATCCAATGAATATATGTGTACACACTCTGTAAGTTTTTGGTAAAATGTGCTGTTGGTGTGCAAGTTTTGTGGAGAAATCCCCTTGCACTCCATCACTAGAGTAAACATGCCTGCTGCTAACTCTCAAAGTTGTAGAGTCTGTTTTCTGCAAATCAAAGCTGATGAAGTGAGCATCAGTGGTTTGCCCACAGTGGGTAAAAGTAGTGCAGACGTCCATGCTGCCGAAGTCTGAAACTCATGTTTCTCCAGGAGGGAATGGTGCAGTGCTGCTCCTGGGCAAGAGGACTTTGCAATCGCTGTGCTGCAGTTTGGCACTGACACCCGCTGGGCTTCACGTTCTGCTCAGACAACGGGGTTTGCACTCTGATGCAGGACAGCGTTTCACAGATCGTAACCGCAGATAAGGCAGGACAAAGGCCAGTGGCTTTGCTAGGTTAAGGCAACTTTTGGCTTTCCGACCCTTCCTTTCTGTGCTTTTCAACAGCTGCTGCACTCGACAGCGGTAGTGTTTCGAAGGTTGTGTGTCACTTTGCCCTGATTAGCTGTGAAGATGTTACTGAGACACTGTTGGAACAGTATAGGGAAGGTCTAGTGAATGGAAACAATCTTCACTAGGTTGTTGCATTTGTGATCAGTAGCTTCTGATTTTGCATCTTATGTTTCTTATGTTTCCTTTATTTAATGGAACCATCATGAGAAAAGGGTAGATTTTTCTTATTTTCTCTCTGCTGTTTCTCTGTGAGTGATTACAAAACCACAGGTTACTCTTTGTGATTTTGTTTCAGTATTTCTAGGGTAGTAAGCTAGGAATCCTGAATTAGGTTTCTGAGTCGGAGATGTGAGAGACAGATCAATATATGTAGTATAAATATACCCTGTATACTATTTTATAATATACCATAATGTATAGTGTATATTTAGGGTACATGTATTACACATATATACTTTATGTACACTAAAATATATATACACACTACATATAGTGTACACTATACTGTATGTATATACTATGTGTATATATGTACACACACTGTTTTAATTGTATTCACCCTCATCTGGTTGCTGTTGGATGCGATCTTTAGAAACATGGAACCATATAAAGCAGATTGCAATGTCTCATAAAGTCTCTTGAGCACAAAAGGGGTGAGTTAACTCTCACAATGCTTTAAAGTGAAATGGCCCTCACACACTCGTTACCAAGCTCCAAATAATTTCTCCCAACCCAGTACCTTCAAAGTGTTTGCTTTCAGGAGCTATCTTAATAGTTTCCTTTTCACTGCCATGGGTACATATTTGCATGTTATTACAGCTATTCTCCACATAGTTTTATTACATAATAATTATTTACTGCATAAAAGTGTTGCATTTCAACATACTGTGACAAAAATTATAACCATAACTTAATACCTAGATTTTATATATACTTTTTTCTTTAGTGAATGAAAAGGACCAGATAATAGCCTCTGCTTGCCAAGTAAAAAATGTGTACTACTTTCTTCTGTTCAAAAGGCATTACAACTCAGATTGGAGAAAGAGGACTGGTCTAGCCTATAAACTGATGCATGTTTGCCATCAGCAGTACTGGATTTTGGTGTCAACAGAGAACCCATCCTGTGGTCCTCCACATTGCATGATGCAGCAGAACAGAGGCAGATCAAGTGCCAGCAGGCTGCTGGACTAGGCAGGGCTGGATCAAGTGCACCAGGACAGATGAGACGCAGCATGGACTGTGTTGTGGAGTTGCCACCTTGCAGGACAGCTCATTCAGAGTGGAGTTGAGAGCAGACCTGGAAGAGCGTCAGACTTGGAAGAGCACCATGCAGTGCCTGCTGGCATTCTAGAAATGGCCAGTGACCTGGGAGTAGACTTAAAAAGAAAGCTGAGCTTCATTACAGATGATTTAGCACCCAGGCCCACTATCCTTACCCCTCAAAAACAACAGCAACAACAAAACATGTCTCATGGACAAAAGAGAACTTACCATGTGTTGTGCTTGATGTGCAGGAAGATGTCAAGAGAAGCACATCCTTTCCACATGGCAGTGACCACTAGAGAATACAGATGATAAAATTACTTCAGTCACAGTGACTGAAAAAACTCCATAACTATCTTAGCTGTAGAAACTATCACAGTATAGTGCTTCCCTGAGAGGTTTATTGGAAAGAGAGAGAGAGGTATTTTAGAATGTTTTAAAGGAAGGATTTTATTCAAAACAGCACTTCATTATTTTAGGAGAGCTCTGGCTCACCAGAGTCTAAATACTTTGTTATCTGTATACCCACTGAGATTACCAAGTATCCCTGCACAAAAATATAGGTAAAATTAAACACCCACAAGCAGACCGCTTATGAACAGTGCTAAGATGAATTAGCAACCTACATGAGTTAACTGAATTGCTTTTTTTAGATCTTACTCCTCACCTCACCCTTCATGCCATATAGACTACGAACCTCAGTCCTTCCAGGATCCAAAATTTTTAGTATTTTCCCCAGGGCATGCATGTAATACTTTTCATTCAGGAACATCTTAATTCCCAGCACAGTAAGGAAAAGGGTTGACCCTAAGCTGTTTACCAACAGCACCACTGGAGCACTTATTGGGGGAGGTACCAGCTCACAGCTGCCTTCATGACAAAGGATATGGTGTCCTGTTCTATGCAAAGTACTGAAACTTTCTTCAGGCCAACACCTTGTAGAGTGTGACACTGCTTGTATTGCTTGCTAATTGCATCACTTAACATAAAAGAGGGAATTATAAAGCTATATAAGTTGTTTAGTGGATCTAAACTACATAAGCTATTGTAAGATGTTCATTGGAGGAAGGGAATGCAGTTCTTCCCCCTTAATAGTAAATTAATAGTAAATAGGACTGGAAAGGCTGTAATACCAAAGCCAATGTGATTCAATAAAAGTGTTCAAGTGGGAGAATATAAAGGTTTGTAACAACATAGTGAATCTAATAAAAAGTTGATGAGGAATGTTGTATTTGGTCTTGAAAACATCACAAGAAAAATTTCAAAATATTCAAGGAAAGTTCAAGAACGATTTAAAAATTGACAATTATACCTGGGGTCCTCAAAGACTTTTGGACAGCTGACAAACTGAGATGGGATTTGGTTTTGATATGACAGGTATAGAAAATGGATTACAGATATGAGATAAAAATTCCATTGTAACTGTTTTGGATCTTGAGTCCCGTGGCCTTATGCTTCAAGTAAACACAAAAATTTGAGCAGCGGTGGGAGGTCTAATCTTTCTATTTATTTGGGAATTTTTCAAATGTTCCTTTTTACCAGTGTGGCCAAGCTGTAAAGCCAAGGGACAGCTCAAGTTTTTCAGGACCTCAGGGTTGGGAGGGAGGTGTTGGGAAATGACAATCAGGACATCATCTGAAATGTGTAGCTGAACATTTTTTCCTGTCGGCTCACAGCTCTAAGCTTAAACTAGTATTACTCATGCAGCCTGCAGAGATGCCCCAAACCTGGCAAGGGCCTTCTGAAAGACTGAAAAAAACCCCTGTTCTAGGTCCTGCAGTTCTGGGATATGCAACAGCATCTATTACTGTGCACACATTTGAATGGGAAGTTCCAGAGTCAGCAGACTAAATCCTGACCACACTGGTTGCAACTGTATGGCTGGTTTTAAGAGAGGGATTATTTCACCTGGGAAGTCTATTGCTTAGTGTCAGAAACTGCAGAATCTCAGCAGGGGGAAAATAAAACCTCTTCAGCTGAGACATTCCAAGGAAATAGAAAGTTGTGCCAGAATGGTTCCTAGATCTGCTCTGAAAAGGTAATACATAGAGCCAGGTAAGCAGCAGTCCTCAGATAAATTGCATTCACAATTGCCATGTGATGCTGACTTAGTTACGGTTGCTGAGAACACTAAAGATCTATTTAATGCAATATCTGTGATGGGTTAATAATTGAAATGCACACCTGCTGTTGCAAGGACATGATATTCAGTCCTATATTCATATCCAGATCTTTGGCTGCTAACTAGATCTTAACAAGTGGGTTTGATGAACTGTGCCCTGGTATGTCTTCTGTTAAAAGGGTGCTAATTACACATTCCAGGAAAAAGAGAAAAGACAAGACAGTGAAAAAGATTTAGATAGGACCATGGTATTTTGTTTCAACAAAATAACAAAGAGAATCTCTTTTAAATTGGGTCCTGAAATAAATATGCACTTTATGATGGAATTATGGATATGCCTGTTGCAGGGTAGTAGAATAACCAATACGATTATATAATGAATTTCCTTATTCATTTCTGTATGAAGGAATCTTAATTTATACTAAAATATGTCTTTTGTGTGCACCACTGTAAAGATCATAAGTTTTTTCTATCCAAGAAATTACTTCATGCAGGGGAGAGTCTTACAGATCATGTATTAAATTATCTTGATCTCTGACATAGTTTGTTAGAAGTTATGTAACTTTTCCCAGATAATTAATTTGCTGCATTGATGAAAACCTATTGAACTGTTATTTAATGCTTAGTTACAGTGCTGTGCTTTTGAAAAGGGTCATAAAAAGCTTTTCTCTCTCACTCTCATAAAACTGAGCACAGCTTTTTGTCCTGTCCTGAGTTTGTTTTCCTTTTCTCAGTTGAAGGTGCTTTGGAAATTTCTATCTTGAGCAAATTAAAGCAGTTGCCTTCCTCTGAACAATGGAGAAATATACTTGCCTGAAGAAAATCAGGGATAAAAAGATACAAGTGGAACTGAGCTGCTTAAACACAACTGGTCAGTGTTATTTAAAGTACTTTTTCCGAGATCTCTACTGGGGTGGAAGAGACAATTCAGTCCAAGAAAATTCATTTTCTGAGGTTGTTTTGTCCAAGAAGGGTTTGCTGTGCCTTCCACTTAAGAATATAGAAGTCATGTGAAAATGGAACTATCGCTATTTCCTACTCATTTCCTTAGAGGCAGAAATCATCCTGAATGTTGACTTGTGAATGTAGCTATCTGTGTCTAACTGCATTTCAGAGCGGCAGCGCTGGCAGAGAAAGGAAACTGTGTCCTGATTTCAGAGGCAGTCTGTACATGCATACAGTTTGATGGTTTTGGTGTGTAGGTTTTGAATCTGTGTTTATGCAAGTCTTCCTAGTTAATACTGAAACAGCACAGGGATCACTAGCCAAAACATAGGAGCTGCCACCTAGGATCATACTGAATAGTGGGCCCATTTTCTACATTACACCAATTTTAGGTAGCTGTCTATGCCCAACCTGTTTTCCTTGTATAGAATTTAGAGATGGGCACTTTTTAGGATCTGATTTGCCATTATTTTCAAGGGTAATAAGATGCCTAAATAAACTCCTGAGATTCTGGAAATTTGTCACCAACTCATAGAAGCACTTTAGCTTCACTTAACACTTCACACATTTAGGTTTACTTTGGTATGCCTTGTTGTGTTTGTTACTCTTATATCTTAAGTTTAGCAGGTAATTGATTTACTTCTCTCCCTTTGGATTATTTAAGTTTCTTGTGAGCTGCCTTATAGAATAGAACATAAAATGCATTAAAAAGGGACATTGTGGGCATTAAAAAACAACAAAAAATTAAAATCAGGAAGTTGAGAGGGTCAAATGAGTCAGTAGAAAAACTACAGCCACTCCTACCTCTAACCATTTTAACTGTGTATTGTTCCTACAGATTTGAACTCTCTAAAACAGACAGCTCATCTGAATTTTTAATACAGTCTTGGTTGCCAGGTAAAGTAAATAATAACATTGTATATGCAAAAAACTTTTTTTTTTTTTTTTTTTTTTTTTTTTTTTTCCCCCCTGGGGTGTGCATTTTGCAGTTCCTAAAACCTGAATACAGGCACTGGGATTATCTTCTTGTCTTGGTAAGAACATTGTGCAGTCCAGCCTGGTTTCTGTCACTCTGTATTCTCTTACAAAGGGATTCTCCTGTTGCTCCCAAGTTTTTGTCTTCCCCTGAGCTAGTGAAGAAAATTGCAGGTATGATTTCTCAAAGCACACATCTGGATGTACAACCACTGACACTTGTAAGAAGTGTGCTGTGTTCTGGGAATAGGTGCCTGCTCTGGATGGGATCCCTAGTAGAGAAGGATCCAGCTCTGATCCCACCCAGCTGCACAACTCTGTCTCAGAGAAGTGAGAGCATTGAGAGCATGTGAAGGCAAGCAGAAAAGATGACTGTAGAGAGATAATGATGATAAGATTAAAGACAGAGGGAGGGTGGTTGGGACAGGATCATCAGGTGTGCGAGGGTTTAAGAGGGAAAACACTACATGAGAACTGTAAAGTCTAAATAGACAAAGCAGAAAGGTTAATCTAGGGATTTCCTTGTGTCACTTAGCCACCACTGTGGATGTACCTGATGGGAGAGGGCAGCTCGACAGCACTGAGATCTGGCCTGGGGAGCTCCAGGAACTGGCTCTTTTTACCCAGTTCACTGACGTTTACCTCATCAGCAAAGCATATTTGAATGCCTTATTAGGGTGTCAAGATGATGTGAATTCTACCTCTCTTGTGTGTGTCAACTGAGAAAGAGCTGTTTTGTATTTTTTAGCTGTGTTTGTCTTGCCTAAAGGGTCTCTCCATACAGTGAAGGGGGCCAAACCAGATTCACCCAGAAGAAGGTTGTTTAAAAGATAAATATCAAATGAAATAAATATTTTATTCTTTTAGGAATTGTTACTTATCTGCAAAATTTTGCTGGACTTGAATGTACTGAATGTCTGAACTGAATGACTGCTGAAAACACATTGCTTGAAGCAAGCTGATAATACATGTCTCCAGGGTGGAAATGACAGCAGACATATTGGGTCAGTGAAAATATGTTAGGAGTTGTTATCTCTGACTGTGTTAATAGGCAGACTTATGTAATGAGTCAAATAGCAATAACTGCAGCTTATACTTAAAAATTGTTCTATGGAAATAGGCTCCTTTTTTTTTTTTTTTTTTTTTTTTTTTTTTTTAATCTTTTTTGGTTATTTAATTCTTCAAATTTATCTCCTTTTCTCCTCCTTGTTAGTATTTTTTCAATTACTAACCAAGCCTTGCCCAGCTTCATGTATTCAAAACATCTGATGTGATTTCAGCACTCCCTCCTGATATTTTTGAAACCCGGTGATTTACAGTTATAAATAATAACATTTATTTTCTTTTTGTGCTGCTTGATTTTTTTACAGCACTTAATTTGTAACAGTTGTCTAATCATGCATTTGTTAACTGTGACAAATATATTACATGCACACAAACTCAAGAGTTCAGGCCGTTGCACCAAGAAAGTTTTCATGCTTGGATTTAGTAAGTATAAAATCAGATTAATTCTGGTATGGCCCTTCCTGGAATTCAGTGTGACCTGTTCATAATGCTGTATGCCTAACCTTTTCTCTTTCATTCTTACAGGCTGAGGAGGAAGAAAATAAGAGCTATTGGTTTTGAGTTTAGATTCTGGAAGTTAAAGACCCACTCACTGAGATAGCTTTTAATTTGGATCTATAGTCAATTCGTGTAAACGTTCAGCTCCAGATCTTGCAATATAACTTGAATGCCTGGACACTCTAAGAAGCTTTTTCCCACCACTTTGTGAAAACAAAATGTCGATTGACATGATATATCACTGAACACAGTTCCAATGATGGCTATGACTTAGATCATGTTGTGTTCAGTGGCATGCTTACACTCTCAAAACACAGCCTCTGTAACTAATAGGTGACAGATGGGACTACTCAGAAAGTTTTTCCCCTAGGCTTTCCTATATACGTGGCTTTTCTTCCCCAGGGATCAGAGAGGTATTTAGCGTTAAAGCACTGCTGAAATTCTCAGAAGTGATTTTTACTAGGTAACGATTTCAGTGACATTGCTTTTCTTCAAGACTTGTGGCATTGTCCTACAGCATGCATTACTCAATGTTTGTTCATACTATTGTGGTAGGTTAATTGCCATGGTGATTGTTCATTTTAGTGTAGGTTGCATACATTTTTCAAGAATCAACAAGGTTTGCCTTTTGTATTTGTATTATTTCACTATCTACATAGTCTTGCAAAATTCTATTACATAAACTCCCTTTTTTCTTTTCTGTCAACAACATGGATCATCTGTAGAATCACTAGTAAATTCTCACCAACCTTCAGTTCAATGTCAACCACAGCTCAGGTCCGCCAGACATTTCTGAGTAATGAAAAGCACATAAAATGTTGATCTATGCCTGTTTGATATGCATACATATATACAGATGTCTATATATACATATGTATTTGCTCTCTCTGAACTAATTGTTCATGTCGTACTTCATTCTTAAAGAAACAAATGACTTCTGAGAGATGTATCATGGATCTTTTTCTTTTGTTTAGGGTTGTGGGTATTTTTCAGGAACTAAAAGGTTCTCGTTTGCTTTTAAATTTTCTGGTAACTTGTATCTGTTAAGAAATTGCATCTTCCTTTTTGGCTCAGTCACATATCAAAGTTCAGACCAAGAAAAGGTTTTCCTCTCCTCCTAGCGAATTGGGCCAACAAATTTGTTGCTGGGATCTGCCAGTTTATAGGTATTCACAGCCTGCTGGAAGTACTCTTTCCAGGCTTTACTGTCAAATGGTTTGATCACCTGTGTAACATGCTAATATCTGCATGTGAATGTGCATATGCAATACAAAGACCATGCTGTTCTAAGAATTTATTTCCTGCAGGTACTGCACTTGAAGGATTATGAAAGGAGGATTTTTTAAGTAAGTGCCAAAGCCAACAAAGAAGAAAAGTTGTCTTTCACACCAAACAAGCCCCATTTAAAGAATCAAACATGTTACTGGTGGCTGTTGTACTTTAGTTTAAGGCCACCCCATAAATTATATTTGACAAATTATTTATGGAAGGTTATAAACACCTCTTTGTATCAGCGCTATGAAATATTCATTTCACTATAGCTTCTATTTAACTGAACACGTTCCCTTCTCAAAGTTATTTTAAGGTCTTCCTTGTGTCTAGGCATACTAATCTTGCTCCATTATCTTGATTTACAACTAATTGAAGCAAACATATTTTGTTATGCTATCCCTCCCATTAAAACAATGCCAATGATCCCCATTGAGAGCATCAGTTGAACTTCCAGAAAACTTTCAGAAAAATTTGTTATTCTACATAAATTACCTTTCATGCTGAGGTTACAGACTGAACATCATTGATTTCTTTGTTTAAAATGAAGTTGCAACACATGATACATTTCTGTTCACTTGATTTTTAATTTGTGTGGAATATTTTCAGCTGAACCTTATGTATTGACATATCAGATTTTTAGACATTTGTTAAAATATAAAAATGTAGTGACCACAATACCTGTGATAAAAAAGCTGGTATATTACACCATAGGCATAAACAAATAAATGTCTAAATATAATTTACTGTAGCTGTATTGACTAGACAATCTGCCCCAGCATGTCTCAGGAATACTTTTTTTTTTTTTTTTTTTTTTAAATGTATCTATACTCCTACAAGGAATGTTAAACAGCTGGAGTTGTAAATATACTACTAAATTAGAACCAACAATGATTTATTGTAAATCCATCGTAGAAAGCTGTCACTGCAGATTACAGCCAGGATGGATTTGAGTTGTGCCTTTCTGTCTGATGGACATTTCTCTTATATTCCCTGTTTATACAGATGATTTGCATAAATGTAATACTAGAATTCAGAAGTCAGATGATAAGAGATCTTCTCAGAAAAGAAAGTGAGTTCAGTTTCTTCCCAATGCTGATACAGAACTTACTGCTTCTTTGCCCTTCCCTGTTGTTTGGCTTGCTGATAATCTTGTGCTTGAAGGATGTATTTATATTCCCCTCACTTGGCATGTCCTGAGAGATGTCTTTTTCTGGCCTTTCTTGTTCCTTGGGAAAATGTCCAAATATGACACACTGCCGTGTTGTCTTCCTGAACCTGCACCTGGCCTGAAAAACTGGTAGCAGAAAACAGTGCACATGCTTAAATTTCACTGATAACAACCAGGTGATGTTGATTCTGGCAAGCTACAAATGTTTGCCTTCCCTGCTGTGAGAATCCTTCCTTATGTAAACCAGGAAAAACTTGAAACTCCTTGTCTTGAGCTGCAATTGCATTGAGACGAAAGTGTTTTAAACCATTTTTCTCCTCAGTTTCTAAGTTATGACCTGACTTATGATAATTGAATAAAATTGCATAATTACCAGACTGCACCATGATACAAATCATGGCATGCCTGATCATTTCACATGGTAGTTGAAACAAGTACTGTTCTTCAGTACTGGATATAGTGATGACGCTGTTATCAGCAGTGATGCTATTCTTCACTACGCCCTGGTGACTATGAATGGATGCTGGCTAGAGAACTCCTGCAAGCACTTCCAGGGTTTAGATGTTGGCAGATGCTAACTTTTGCTAAGAAACAGAAGGAATAATGTAAGAAATAAAAGGTACCTTGTGTTTGACCTATATCTGATGATGTCACCCTTCAAAACTTTGAAGATTTCTGATATAATGCTATTTAACTGTGTTCATATTAAATATTAATGCTTAATAACTTACGTGGGGTAAAGTGTATTTAAAGTAGAGGGAAAGAATCTTAACATTTTTACAGGAAAAAAAACAGTTCTGAGTTCTCATGGATCCCACAAACAGAGTATAAAATGAGGCTTTCTTCAGTGTGAGGAGAGAGACAAGCTGTTATGTAAAATTAACCAGTGGTGACCATGGTGCTCAGTTTTTGTTAGGGCTTCTAAAAACTGTGCCTATACATAGGCACAGTTGACCAGTGGTAACTGTTGTGTCCTAACAGTGTGTATTTGCTTTGAGAAGGGTGACAAATATTTGCAAGATGGTGAGGGTGGGTTATGAAATAGCAGGTATGGAACGTCCTACCATCACTACCTAATATGGAGTGGTATTTTTGGTTTCTCTGTTTTGTTTCTTATTTTTCTGCCAGCTGTATAACTACTGCTTCCTTAGTGTGTTTATCTGGGCAAATCCAGACTGGTGTTTCCATGGTATTGTCATGTCTGAATGTAATCCAGTGCATCTTGTATGTGTGAGTAATGCTCATCTGTATTAATGGTCCTGCTGGCAACACTGATATTACTCATGTGAAAAAGTCTTGAAAGAGAATGATCCAGCCTTACTCTGGTAAGACTGGAGATGTAGGTGAAAACTCACTGGGAGACCAGATTTGTCACCTAATATACACTATGAGGTGATGGAAGGAGGGGGAAATGGTGTGGGTGTCTGTCACTGTCTGGCAGTTCTCAAAACTGTTTATGACCATCTTTCCTCTGCAATCCTGAAGATAAATATTTTTTGTCTTAGACCATTATATTATACTGTAAGGGGTTCAATAAATGTCACCAGATGCAAGTGACCACTCTATGATAAGAGCAGTAATGTGATACTGAATCGTCTCCAGAGGAACTCTCCCTTTTGGCTGTACAAAAAGACTTTCTAGTCCAGGGTCTGTCAGTGTTCGGCCCTTCTCTGTTCAGACAGTATCCATCTACCTGGTCTAGATGTGGTGTGTTTATCCAAAGCAGACAAATAGTTTCTCCTTTGTTAAAAATTGAGAGAATTAGAGGTGTAATTTGCCCAGATTACTACTTATTCATAAGATTTGCTCTAGTTTGTAGTATGTGGGATCGTTGGATGGTAAAGGGCATGCATGAAAGCAGCCCTTGATGAGGAACCTGCTTGACTTGTTCTTGTCCGTGGAGACAGCCTGTGTGTGAACTCACCACCCAGGCTCGCCAGGAGACACTCCCCAGAGTCGTCCAGAAGAGCAGGGACACAGCTTTCACACTTATCAACAGGACATCAGTCTCTGCAAACATCTGGCTTTCTCTAACCCAGCCTACTGAGACAATGACACAGTCCCTCGGGCATCTGTTTTAAAGGACAAAAGCCTTTGTGTAGGAGCTTACAAAATACAGAAATCTTTGAGCCAAGAGCTGAGATCACCATGTATATTCAAAATAACAACAGAAAATGGCCATATCTAGGGGCAATGGTGACTCTAAAAATACTCTTGAGCAGCATAGTGTGGAAATCAGCTGGAATCAGCTTTTGGCTGCAAATGTGCAACAGCCTGTAAATGTCTTAAAGCTTGGGGACTATTTTTTAGTATTAATTTTAGGCAGCTACTAAATGATAACACACACAGGAGTAAAGTAATCAAGGTACAAAAGTGTCATGGTTTAACTCCAGCTGACAACTAAGTACTGCCCAGCTTCTCACTCACTCCTCCCTCCCTCCCTTGTGGGATAGGGAGGAGAATAAAAAAAAATAATAATAAAACTCATGGGTTGAGATAAGAACAGTTTAATAATGGAAATTAATATAATTTAAGTAATGAAAAGGTGTACCTACAGAAAGAGAGAGAAATAAAACCCCAGAAAGACAAGCGATGTATAATGCAATTGCTCACCACCCATCTACCGATGCCCAGCAAGTGCCAGAGGACTGATCAGCCCCTCCTGGCCAGCTTTCCAGAGTTTATGTGCTGAGCATGACATTCTATGGTATGGGATATCCCTTTGTCTAGTTTGGGTCACCTGTCCTGGCCATGGTCTCTTCCAGCTTCTTGTGCACCTCCTTGCTGGGAAAGCATAGAAAACTGAAAAAATCCTCAACTTAGGATAAGCACTACTTAGCAACATCTAAACCATCAGTGTGTTAGCAACATTATTCTCACACTAAATCCAAAACACAGCACTGTACCAGCTACTAGGAAGAAAATTAGCTCTATCCCAGCTGAAACCAGGACAATATCTGTCCCTTATTTATGTCATGCTGAGGTCCCACACTTTCAATACATCCCAATTAATCATCACCACTCTCTTGATATATACACAAAGATATTATTCCCTTAGTCTATGGGACACCCCTGTGAAGTGTCTGTAAAATGTCCATAAACATCCACAAACGTTAACAAAATATCAATAGACATAATTTAGTCCATTACTTTGGGCTCCATCCATTATGGTGGTCCCTCAGAACAGGAGAGTTGGTGTGTTGTGTGAAGTTATCAGGCAGCAAAGAGAGCTCAGGGCGGGTCACTGCTGCACTTGCACTGCTTCTTGTAAGGCTCATTCTCCGTTGGTTCAGGTGGTTCCTGCTATAGTAATTTCCATAACATGCAACTCAAATCATGGGTTACAACAATTTAAAGGTATTTCCATTACAGTCTTGACCCTTGGTCCTTTTAGACCAGACCATTGAGTTTAACAGTGCAGTGAACTCCTCCCCTTGCCTATACTCCAGCTTGGATTTATCCACAGCCTGCAGTCCCCTAGAGGTGCACCTGCTCCAAGTGGAGCCTTT